AACAGGCACTTGCTTGCCGAGGTCCGCGCGCTCGACGCTGCTGTCGCGCAGGCACGTGCTATGGCCGCCAAGAGTGCAAGGGAATCCGGGATTGCACAGGCGGACAGGTCGAACAAGGAGATCGACCTTACCTTGTAGACTAGGGTGACCGAGAGTGCAGAGTAGTCCGCGGCTGCGCAGGAGGAGAGGTGGACCTAGTCGGTGAAAGGCATCCCTACCGGGTGGTGTGGTTTGTTGGCCGTTCATCATCAAAGTCTCTACGGTTTCATGTTCTTGTTTGTTGTTCAAAACTTCTGGTGAATTGGCGTCTCAGCAAATTGTGCTTCGTTGTCTTTCGTGTGAGGCTGTTCAAGTGCAGCATATGTACGATCATATTCTACATGAAGTGCTTCGCATTTCTTTGGTGAGGAAAGAGGTTTGGCGTTTGTTCGGACGCCACAGATAGGAATGTTTCTGGGCTTACGATACTGCCGGAAACGGAAAACAAAGAACACTGAATCATACCGCCGACTTGTTTCCCGCCAGCGGTCCACCGACATAATTGGTACTACCGGCAACCGCCGAAGGCGGTACCGCCATGTTGCGAACCGCCGACAAAAGTACCGCCAGTATTGGCGATACCGGCAACCGCCGAAGGCGGTACCGCCATGTTGCCGCCGAAACAATAGGTACCGCTGTCCCGCCTAAAAGTTCCCGCCATCTTGCGGTACCGCCAAAACTGTTCCCGCCTAAAAAACCGTTCCCGAGGAATACCTTGGTAATTTTCACGCCCCTGTGCATGAAAATCATTCTTTTTCTCGTGCGCACATGCTCCACACACGATCCCTCTAAACAGTTTTTTTTTTGCGAAACCAAACAAAAAGCGTACCCCTAACGGGCCACACTTTTCGCAAAAAAAAACCCTTCGAAATCGTCGGCACTTCGACTTTTCATAGTGTTTTCGGTCGGTGACCTACAGATTGAATGTTCAACTTATTGCTACGTTTTCCTCTGCATCTACATACAAGTTCAGGCCAGCACGAGAGAGCACATGAGGGACCATGTGCTACAACCGTTCTTCCGAAATAGAAGTAGTTTTTTTCCGGAACAAGTTGTTGGTTCTTGCTCGGCTTGCTCGGTGACAACCTTGTCGTTTTCATTGATAGACTCCCGCGATATGTCTAACGTGAGCAAGAGTAAGCTCACCCAGGCTGAGTTCCATCAGTAAGGATGGCAACCTCAAGGTTCTGCCATCATTGGTACCCTATGAGGCCAGGGCACACTGCCGTTTGCTCTTACTCGAGAAATGTCGGAGAGTTGTGCCGTGTAGAAAAACAATGATAATTCTCCTCTTCAAGTTGGCGGTGAACCAAAGCGATGGCAACTTTTCACTCACCTTTTTGGCGTGACATGAGCAACCACTGTGAGAACTGTTTCTCACGCCGTGTAGCATGGCTCTGTGCGTTCATCACATGCATGCACGCGTCGCTTCATACGCGAGCTGGCTATGTTTTCCACCTGCTGGAGCAGATGGCGTGCTGTGGTGCCTTTTGAGGCTGCTTGACATACTTCAAGGAGGATCCGGTCCATGGGTGGCTGATATTCCGTTAGAAGCGAAAAAGTGTAAGATTGAACGTTGGCAATCTGGGTTTTGTGGTGCGGGATTGAATCGTACTGTGGCAAGGTAGGCAAGCAATTGCGGGAACGTCATCCTGAGATTGGATGAGCACCGTGGTTGAGCAAAGCTCTTCTCACGAGACTCATTGCAAACTCGCGTTTCTCGTGTTGGGCATGTATTCGGCTGTTCACACGGTCGTCCCGGTGGTTTAGTGGGTAGCCTCGCAGCCTTCTAAGGGCCAGGTCATGGGTTCGAGTCCCGACAGAAAGAGCTTGTTCTCACTTAATAAATCCTGGTCTAGGATGAAAGCGACGGGCTGCAAAGCTCGTGTGTTAGTTAACCATAATCGACTTCGTAAGTCGCGAGGGAAGGGATTGCTCTACCCTTCTCGCGTTAACCGTACGCATGAACCGCAGGAGGAGGTCCAACCCCCCCATCCTGTGTGACCCCGGTTGGGTCGTCTAGCTAGTAGCAGTGGAGGATAGGGGCCAGAGGGGCAGACGACAGAGTCCAATGATGGGAGGACAACAAACAAAACAAACAAAAGTCCTCGTGATTTCATTCGGATAGACCCAAATATCCGAAAGGATTGCAATAACCGCTTCTGCGTCCTATCGCCACAAAAATGACAAATGTCGGGACGTGCGGCTCGGAATTTCAAAAGCTAATTTAACAATCTGCGCACTGCTGATACGTTTGCACACAGTCACACCCTGAGGCTGCAGCACAACAGCAACGTCTCGCACACCCGTAAAAACTCTCCCGCCATTGCCCAATCCCCTGTGGACGTGAACGCACACCAGTGATAGCTATCTCTGGCCACATACACAACAGCAATGCCGATAGTCGTCGTAGAATGCGCTCTTCTTGCCGTTGGAAAATCTCGCGCGAATATGTGGTGGGGTGATAGATGGGAGTCTTGCTGCTGGAAACGCAGTAAGTCTCGCACATCAGTAGAAACGTGTAGAAACACACCCGTCGTGGCGCCACCCCCCCCGGATGTGAAAGCAGAACAGCAGCAATGTAGTAGCAGACCTGGCTCCGCGCTCTCACACGATGACGATGCTGCTTGAACCTTCCGAAAAGTATGCATAAAACCACTAATAAAAATCGAAAGAACGAGCAAAAATAAGTGGGTACACTGTCGGTGAGATGAAGAGACGAGACTTGCTTCACAGTTGCAGCAGCGCAGTACCAACCATCAACAGACAGCGGAGCTCCCGATAGCCTTCGCAGGTTCCCAATGATGTGTCACGATGGATTCTTTCGCAGGACCAGAATAAATTGGGCGGTGGACGAGCGGAGTGAGCGGAATGTACGCATATGTACGAGACCCGCCATGATGCCATGAAATATCACGGTTGCCCACGTAACACGGCGGTTGGTTGGGCGCTGATGACGGTGCTGCGGGTACTGATGATGATTGATGTACGGTAGTGGTCCCGATATTGTGGTGTGTAGAGGAAAATGTGCCTTTATTTAGGGCAATGCCACTATTGAACAGTTGTTTCTTGGATCTCCACTCGTATGCGTTGTACATGTATTCGGGGTCCCTCTTTTGTTGTGTGCACCAGTATCCGCGTGAAAACGCGGGTGTGAGCGCATCACGTGTGCATTGACGCTTGATTAGCTTGTGACAACGAGGCCTTCGGCGATCGAAACATAGTACTGTAACAGTTTCTTGTTTTTTTGTCCGGTGACCCAAAATACGCATGTTTAAAGCAGCAATATATACGCGGAACCAACTAAAGCAACCAACCTAACAACGCCGAACACTCCTCACTCCGGTGCATCAATCCCAACAGTCACGATGCTTTGCACCCGTAGGCCTCAACCGACCAATACCACTAAACTCTTTAACTAGGAAAACGCTCTGTCCAACTGCCGTGACGGTCTAGCGGCATGTGTTCCGAAGAATGTGCCATCTTCGCCTTACGGCGGAAATGCCCAGCCTCGCCTACGGCACATACCTCCGCGTTACTGTTGTTCTAGAAATCTTTGTTGTTGTCTAGGTCTAGCTCATCGTCAGAGAAGCCAGCGCGCGGCTTGCGGACCCGTCCTTCTCCCCAAGCGGTCGGTTTTGGAGTTTACATAGTTGTAGATCCGCGTACGCTGGCATGATCACGTGTGGAGTGGCGCCCGCTGCTGTGTGTGTCATGTGTGTCGTTGGTGCGTGCGTTATCATGGAGGGGGGCTCCGGCGGCTTGAATTGCCACTTTTGGGGGGATGAGTTGCCCCAAATGCCACTATTTGGGGTCCCGTCCTCAATAGTGGTACAATGCCACTATATATGGTTGAAATTGGAACGAGAGATTTTTGATGCCACTCTTCAGGGTGCCACTAATCGGGACCACTACTTAACCTACATGTAGCAGAGGGCGGATGTGTTGGCCGTTGGTGCTCCAATTGAGAGAGCGGCGAGAGTGGGCACCGCAGTTGTGAAGATCCTTCCCGATGAAATCATGCAGAGGGGGCAAACACCTTTTCCATGATTTCATCGGGAATGGAAGGAACTCGATCATCAGGAATTCCTGGTGATTCTTGTATGAACACCGGGACGTTGAGTTTGCGATGCGTCAATGGTGTTGGGTTCGCTCGTTTCACAAGCAAGCTAGGTTCGGGATCAAGCGAAGTGACCAAGAAACCCGATGTTGCCACGGACAGAAAGTGAACACGGGTGGCAGCCTGGAAGCATTTACCTTGATTCTTGACCCAAGAGGTAAGAAATCGATTGTACTGCCTTCCCTCCTCGCTTCGTTCGTTGGTATAAAAATTAACGACAGAGAGACCCTGAACCAGCCCCTGCGGGCCACGGTTCACGCCATAGCCCGACAAATATACAACAACATACCAACCTTATCAACCCTCCGCAAAAGTCCTCTACATACAGACAACGTTCTCCGCATAACCCTTATGCAGACAGTCAGATACACGAGACTACGGCTGGCTGCCAAACTGTCTTGTAGAGAGCCTGTTACCCACAGTGAGTGGAGATATCGCTTTGTGCTGCCCCGGGAACCGTAAAAATACAGGTACCAGCACAGGTCCCTGTTTGTTTTCAGTGCGATGTGCGCAGGACAATTCCCCGGCATTCTAAATCTCTTAATATACCGGACACACCGGCACGACAAGTAGATCCGGCCGCACCCCCATAGTCTTACCTGGCGCCGACAAGGATAAACCAATGAGAGACCTGTATTTTGCATCGCGAAGCAAAAAAATCGCACCGTATTATAGACAATACAATAACATGATATTGGAAAAGCAACACGCTGCAGATCAGCTTTGTGAATCACGCTGATTGAACCGACCCGCAAGACCTCCCGTCTGAGTTGAGAGCAGCCTGCATTCGGATCCTGCCGTGGTACCACACCTCTGTACTGTAGCTTTCTCCGATAGGACTTGAGGCAAGACGGAACGGTTTAAGCGAGTTGTATTGCACGAAAAATATCTTCATCCTGACCACTGCGGTTGTTGGTGTTGTTGTTGTCTTCACATTACGAACCGTTCTCTGGTGTCCGCTTTGTACCTTCAAATGTCCGTACCGGTCCAACTGCAGCGGCGCTTCCGTGGTCACAAGCCAACAAACCCCCCCCAAAAGCGGTGCACTGTTCTAGAAAGAAAAGTAGAACAGACACCGGACGAAGTCTTCGAAGACGCGATTGTTTCTACCCAAACGAATAAAATAAATCTAACCGGGATACGATCGACCCCGGTCCAAAAGGGATGGAAGCAGGAAAGAGAAAGGAAACGAAAAGGAAATAGGCAGCGCTCCTCCAACGCTTCACTGGAACAACGAAATAGGCAAATTCTAACGCAACAGCAAACGAATGAATGACTTACGATGACAACAACATCATGCCGGGGTGTACTCATAGTCGTGCATGCCGTGGTCGTCAGACCATTGGCCTCGCATTCCTGCAAATACGGGACGGAGCATGCCAGGTTCTCACCGGACCGGGCTCTCACATCACCAAGCGCGAAGCGCCGTGAGGTATTCGACGAGTCGCATGAAGAGTGCACTGCATCGTGCCAAGGGTGTTCGGCATCTTGTGCTTACTTCCTTGCGTGCGGATGACAGCTGCGTTTGACTTCATTGATCTTGTGGTGCTTTTACTCCCGAGACGGTTGTAAGCTCCGCCTTTGTCACTGCCTCAAAGGTGCTCGACCATTTTAACACAACGTGGTGCTATCATCCCCCTTGCGCAGAGTGAGGGTTCCCGACACCGCACAACGTCCATGGTTAACGCCAAAAGAAAAACTGAGGGAGAAAAACAAGCGGTAACCTGGTTGCCGAGCTCACGAAGTGATGGGTCTTGTTTTACAACATCGCTGCCAAGCGCCGAAAACCCGACTCCGATGGCCAACCAGGGGGGGGTGGCGATACGACTGAAAATATTGGGGTACGCCCTGCTGGTATTCATGCCATCGCCTCCATCAGCCCGGAAGCATGTCTGTGTCTATCTGCACGGCTGCAGTCGTGCCTTCTACCTTTCGATTGGCTAACGAGAATCCCTTCCTGATGATAACGATATTTCAGGTGGGAATTATTTGTGAACACAATCTTGTTGGTCGTATGCATATCGGTTGAAACATCCGCACCACCTCTTTCTCTACATGTTAATAAGAACATCCTTAACTGCTGACGCTCTGCAATCACTGCGGATGCTATCAATATGGCGTCAACGAGCCGACAGGGGCTAGATGCGTCATCCAAGCAAGACACAGAAAAGATGGTTCATCCGCCTCGATTTTGACATGCAGTACATGGTGTAGATCAACCGCAACAATACAATCAGGCAAGTTGTAAAAAGACACCACGACGCGTTCCTGTGAAGGTAGAATGCAGGTACAACACACATATGTAACGGAGGTAATGATAAAGGTGCTGCAGACCAGGTAGGTAACACTAGCAAATCTCTGAAACCATGGTCCTATTTAGCTGTAAGTAGCTACGATAGATAAATAATAGCTGTAGCCCGTACCTACAGGATGCAGCTGGTCTGTGNGCGTCAACGAGCCGACAGGGGCTAGATGCGTCATCCAAGCAAGACACAGAAAAGATGGTTCATCCGCCTCGATTTTGACATGCAGTACATGGTGTAGATCAACCGCAACAATACAATCAGGCAAGTTGTAAAAAGACACCACGACGCGTTCCTGTGAAGGTAGAATGCAGGTACAACACACATATGTAACGGAGGTAATGATAAAGGTGCTGCAGACCAGGTAGGTAACACTAGCAAATCTCTGAAACCATGGTCCTATTTAGCTGTAAGTAGCTACGATAGATAAATAATAGCTGTAGCCCGTACCTACAGGATGCAGCTGGTCTGTGATCGCTTGGGGCTCTGTGGGTGAAGATCTGCGGGGTGGAGCAAACAAGAAGTTTCTCCACCGGTGGAGGTCACCTAAAACATCGGTTGTCCGAAGGGGGCCGCTGACAACGTGAAGAAAACGCACACACACGCGCGCGGAGCGGTCCGCAATCACTATTTTATGCAAAATAGAGAACGTGTCCAATATGTATTCGAAGGGATCTTCAAGGCGGGACTGGTTGGTGCATCCACTCCCCCGCTGGGATGCCAAATGCTGGTCTTGGATTCGCTGTGGCCGGCGACTACAAGTACAAGGCCGAAGACTTTCCTTACTCAATCCGTCCACGCCGTCCTTTCCCGCAACGTGCAGCTCATCTTTTCTGCCATCATTCTGGACGCGGCGCAGGAGAATGCTGGAGATGACTTCGATCATTCTGCTTGGGCTCTCCACGTTGTTGAATACCTCCGCAGGTGGGTGGATGAGTTCGTTTGAGCAACATTTGAGCAGACCAGTGTGTTGATCCGACCGCTGGCATGTAAACGCTGTTTCCATTTACCTAGTAGGCCGGCAGGTAGACACCGATGACGGGGGGTTCATTCGCTCTCAAACACAGGATTCACCTCAGAATGGGGTGTGATTTTATTACGTTTGTTCACCTCTTCGAGTAGTGAGTAGCCGATTTTCCCCCGGTGAAGTTGGTGATTGCAAAGCCACAATCGTGAGCGGCTCCCCATCTCCTTACAGTACCTCCTGAAGAATTTGTTGACCAGCGTGACCGATTTTCTTGGGAAGGTGAAGGTCTACTTCGTAGGCCAACGTTGGTGCAGCTGGTGTGTTGGGTCGTCTTCGAAGACATTGCCAGCTGCGATATTTGCTCCTCTTTCGGAGGGTTCGATCTCACGCGACAGAGTTTGTCGAATCATGCGATGCTGTATGTCCTTAAGGTAGTCCTTTGTCGGCGTTCAGACTGCCCTGTATCCACGGAACCTTTTTTTACTTCGATGGACCCATTGATTTGGGATTAACGTTATTCGAACGTTTCCGCGTGGGTAAAGGAAGGTGCACTGTAGCGCATGGGGCGCGAACGTTATAGCAGGTTCATTTTGACGACACAGCGTTGCTATTGTAGACATGCTGCTTAAGGTAAGTTTGGAAACCAAAAATTGGAAGCACCTTTCCACCGTCCGGAGAGATGTCAGCTCGATATCTACCCTGCCCGTGTTCGTGTGCTGATGTCATCGGACCTTCTATGCTATGTTCTGTTTCTCGAACGGCCACGGTGGTATTGGTTGTAAAGGCTGCGGTCCATGGGTGATTGACTGGAAACGTTGGCGGTTCCCCCGTCATTTCGTATGCGGAGAGCCTGTGGCGTCGATACCAGATGTCGAGCTCGCTTTTTTGTTTGTCTCGTACTCCGGTACCTTGTTCTCCATCGCGGAACATCGCAGTGCGGTGCCCTGGTCGACTCGGCAATATTCATTTCGGATGCAGCTGCTGACAGTTTTATGCCAATCTCACCATCCGCCCACTCATCTCCTCTCATTTGCCGTCTGTCCTGCGTACGTCGATGGTTGCAGTTAATGTATGTCTGGACACCACGGACGCCGGCAACTGCCAAATTGAAGCTGGTGAAACTTTGTAAGCCCGCCCCGAATTTTATGCTATTGCTATGCAAGACCCCAAACGTGATTGATGGTGGCTGGCGAGGCACCCGTTGATGCTCGGCATGGCTCGTTGCAGGAAGATTGAGTTAACTTGCAGGATGGAATTTTGCAATTTCCTCGGTAATGGTCGCTCCAAGATCGGCGGCAATCTCGGGTACCCGTTGCCCGGCAAACGTTTAACATTGGGCAGTATTGTTGAGTTCAGGGCATTTGGCAAGATATTTATTCACGCATTTTCACGCGCTTCCTGTAAAACAACACCGCTGCACGACCGACACAGCAAGACTTGATACGTTTGTTGGTGTACGCAATCTTCCCCTAGGGACCTTAGTGACTGCGGCATAACAGATGCCGATTTTGACGATCTGGCGTCTTGCCTGGAAGCTGCCGGGCCGGAAGCAATCACAACTCTGTGAGTGCGTTCTATGCCATGGGGGTGGGTATTGGCCGGTTGTTTTTGTTGTTGGAAGCGGCCTTCACGTGCGCACCCAAGGATCGTGCTACGTATCGGGATCAGTTGTCACTTCCGGGCATTCGCCGTAGAGCCTTTACATGGTGGTGCCCTCTTGGCCTCATATCCTAGCCTCTTGTCCGTTTCGCAGTGTCCTCAATGCAACCCTGGAACGGGGTCCTCCAACTGCCAACTCGTCGCCTTCGCGGTAGCGGGAAGAAGGCATGATTGTTGTAATTGTACCCAGGCCATCGCGGCGGCCGCGGCGTTGCTAGCGCCGCTCTACTGAAGGACGTCCTTACATGCTGGTGGGCTGGCCGCGCTCCGTAGATCAGCATGAGCGGCAGCAGGGACTGATTCCTAGCTCATGTGTTTTGTCTGCTCCGCTCGTGGCCTTCCCTCGACACCCGAAGGTTCCTGTACGAGAACGAGCTCACCACGCTGCCTGAAGGAATCTTCGGGAGTCTTACGGGTCTTCAAATGCTGTAAGTAGCTGTTTGACAAGGTTGTCGGTAGAATGTTTTTCCGCATCGGGCTAGCATGCGATTGAGAACTACGAGATCGCAGACCAATCGTCCCCATGACCCATGAAATCCCGACTAGCGCGCCGGGAAGCAGTTGGTAGGAAGTTGGGTGTAGAAGAGGTCGGGGGTGTCTGAGACCAGCTCCAGGCGACGTACCATAGTCTCGCTGCCGTTATGGCGTCTACGCCTAGCCGCTGCACTATCTCGGATGCTTGGGGTTGGATGGATTTGTCTGTGAAACGCGCGATTCGGTCAATTTCGATCTGAATGTGCGTTCATTCGGCATTTTTGCCGGTACATTTATCGGACATGAGCAGGTTTTGAGATGAGGTGAGAGAAAGAGGCGATGTTGGCGTTGCTAGAAACGTGAGCACCCAAGGATCGTGCTACGTATCGGGATCAGTTGTCGCTTCCTGGCATTCGCCGTAGAGCCTTAACATGGTGGTGCTTCTTGGCCTTACATCCTAGCCTCTTGTCCGATTGGCGGTGTACTTAATCTAACCCTAGCCTCTTGTCCGATTCGCGGTGTTCTCAATGCAACCCTGGAACGGGGTCCTCCAACTGCCAACTCGTCGCCTCCGCGGTAGCTGTAAGATGGCATGATTGTTGTGATTGTACCCAGGCCATCACGGCGTTGCTAGCGCCACTGTACTGAAGGACGTCCTTACATGCTGGTAGACTGGCCGCGCTTCGTAGATCAGCATGTGCGGCAGCAAGCACTGATTCCTAGCTCATGTGTGTCATCTGCTCCGCTCGTGGCCTTTCCTCGACACCCGAAGGTCCCTGTCCAGGAACGCGCTCACCGCGCTGTTTGAGGGAATCTTCGGCAACACAACCGGTCTTGACACGCTGTAAGTAGCGAATGTTTTTCCGCATCGGGCTAGCATGCGATGGAGAACTACGATATCGCAGACCAATCGTCCGCATGACCCATTCAACCCCGACCAGCGCGCCGGAAAGCAGCTGGTAGGAAGTTGGGTGTAGAGGAGGTCGGGGGTGTCTGAGACCAGCTCCAGGCGACGTACCATTGTCTCGCTGCCGTTATGGCGTCTAGGCCTAGCCGCTGCACTATCTCGAATGCTTGGGGTTGGATGGATTTGTCTGTGAAATGCGCGATTCGGTCAATTTCGATCTGAATGTGCGTTCATTCGGCATTTTTGCCGGTACATCTATCGGACGTGAGCAGGTTTTGAGGTGATGAGAGAGAAAGAGGCGATGTTGGCGTTGCTGGAAACGTGAGCACCCAAGGATCGTGCTACGTATCGGGATCAGTTGTCGCTTCCTGGCATTCGCCGTAGAGCCTTAACATGGTGGTGCCCTCTTGGCCTCACATCCTAGCCTCTTGTCCGATTGGCGGTGTTCTCAATGCAACCCTGGACCCGGGTTCAGCTGCCAACTCGTCGCCTTCGCGGTAGGGGGAAGATGGCATGATTGTTGTGATTGTACCCAGGCCATCGCGGCGGCCACGGCGTTGCTAGCGCCACTGTACTGAAGGACGTCCGTACATGCTGGTGCGCTGGCCGCGCTTCGTAGATCAGCATGTGCGGCAGCAGGGACTGATTCCTAGCTCATGTGTGTTATGTGCCCCGTTTGTGGTCTTTCCTTGACAACCGAAGGTCCCTGTACGAGAACGAGCTCACCACGCTGCCTGAAGGAATCTTCGGGAGTCTTACGGGTCTTCAAATGCTGTAAGTAGCTGTTTGACAAGGTTGTCGGTAGAATGTTTTTCCGCATCGGGCTAGCATGCGATTGAGAACTACGAGATCGCAGACCAATCGTCCCCATGACCCATGAAATCCCGACTAGCGCGCCGGGAAGCAGTTGGTAGGAAGTTGGGTGTAGAAGAGGTCGGGGGTGTCTGAGACCAGCTCCAGGCGACGAACCATAGTCTCGCTGCCGTCATGACGTCTACGCCTAGCCGCTGTACTTTCTGGGATGCTTGGGGTTGGATGGATTTGTCTGTGAAACACGCGATTCGGTCAATTTCGATCTGAATGTGCGTTCATTCGGCATTTTTGCCGGTACATTAATCGGACGTGAGCAGGTTTTGAGGTGATGAGAGAGAAAGAGGCGATGTTGGCGTTGCTGGAAACGTGAGCACCCAAGGATCGTGCTACGTATCGGGATCAGTTGTCGCTTCCTGGCATTCGCCGTAGAGCCTTAACATGGTGGTGCCCTCTTGGCCTCACATCCTAGCCTCTTGTCCGATTGGCGGTGTTCTCACTGCAACCCTGGAACCGGGTTCAGCTGCCAACTCGTCGCCTTCGCGGTAGGGGGAAGATGGCATGATTGTTGTGATTGTACCCAGGCCATCGCGGCGGCCACGGCGTTGCTAGCGCCACTGTACTGAAGGACGTCCGTACATGCTGGTGCGCTGGCCGCGCTTCGTAGATCAGCATGTGCGGCAGCAGGGACTGATTCCTAGCTCATGTGTGTTATGTGCCCCGTTTGTGGTCTTTCCTTGACAACCGAAGGTCCCTGTACGAGAACGAGCTCACCACGCTGCCTGAAGGAATCTTCGGGAGTCTTACGGGTCTTCAAATGCTGTAAGTAGCTGTTTGACAAGGTTGTCGGTAGAATGTTTTTCCGCATCGGGCTAGCATGCGATTGGGAACTACGAGATCGCAGACCAATCGTCCCCATGACCCATGAAATCCCGACTAGCGCGCCGGGAAGCAGTTGGTAGGAAGTTGGGTGTAGAAGAGATCGGGGGTGTCTGAGACCAGCTCCAGGCGCCGTACCATAGTCTCGCTGCCGTCATGACGTCTACGCCCAGCCGCTGCACTATCTCGGAGTCTTGGGGTTGGATGGATTTGTCTGTGAAACGCGCGATTCGGTCAATTTCGATCTGAATGTGCGTTCATTCGGCATTTTTGCCGGTACATTAATCGGACGTGAGCAGGTTTTGAGGTGATGAGAGAGAAAGAGGCGATGTTGGCGTTGCTGGAAACGTGAGCACCCAAGGATCGTGCTACGTATCGGGATCAGTTGTCGCTTCCTGGCATTCGCCGTAGAGCCTTAACATGGTGGTGCCCTCTTGGCCTCACATCCTAGCCTCTTGTCCGATTGGCGGTGTTCTCACTGCAACCCTAGAACGGGTTCCTCCAACTGCCAACTCGTCGCCTTCGCGGTAGCCGGAAGCACGCATGATTGTTGTAATTGTACCCAGGCCTTCGCGATCAGCATGTGCGGCAGCAAGCACCTGAAGGGCACAACGGTATTGACATGCCCGGAGCCCGCGGCGGGGGTAAGCCAGATATGCCAAGGCGCACTTGGCTCCTCAACTCCCCAATGACCGGATCACGCGCAACCAACCGCCGATGCTCCGTGTATCACACTTATCGTTCTTTTCCGGGCAAAGGTTTATTCTCCCCTTCTGGGGTTGGGGCAACAGTACACTGGTGATTTATCCAAGTATGAAAACATGCCATTCTCCCCCGAAATGCGCTGAAGCTTGTGTAAGGCATGTTGGGTAACCAACATCAACACCCGTAAACACTCGAGTTTTGTCTTCCTGGGAACGCTAAACTCCGTGGGTTTTCTTTTGGTGTGCAAAGACACCCTTCCAATATCGAGGACGCGCAAGGCCATTTTCCCCCGTGACATGAACCTTCCCGAGGATAATCAAGTGTCCGAGTACTTATGGGCAGTTCATCACAGGGCGGAAATTTTTCCGGTACAAAAGAATTTGAAACGTCGTCAGTGCACAATCAAACGGGAATTCGTGGCTAACTTGTGGTTGCCTTGTTCCGCTGATGGCCTCCCCTTGGCACTCGAAGGCACCTGTACAACAACAACCTCACCACGCTTCCGGAGGGGATCTTCGGGGATCTTACGGCCTTGACGTTGCTGTAAGTAGCTGGGATACTTCTCCGCATGCGCTCAGCCCGTGCTAGACAAGAGGAAATAAACATTTTTCCGGTTTGCAGATCTGCAGTCGGTGCATGCGTTAACTGCTTCCTTTGAGAATGTGGGGGTCGAACGAGCAGTCGGGAGATGCTTGGGAGAGTACCATTGCACTAGGGGCGCAACTGCTGTCGAATCTGCGAGAGTTTGCCTGTTTCAAGTCAGCTCGCTTGCTCCAACCTGGCGTCCAAGTTGATGGAAAGCAGCGCATCCGGAAGAAGGGTAGCTGATGCAGTTCGGACGCCCTTCGGTTCTGAGATGATTGATTGTTGGCTCCGTTGATCGAGAATGGACCTCTTCCGAATTCGCTCAACTCTGCACCTGTCTCGTACAGATACTGAACGGTATACAGTGATCACATCTATTACGGCATTCTGTTGGATTCGTTTGTCTTCATTCCGTTCGTCATTCGGGGCTTCAGAGGCCAGGTAGTTCAACGTGCTGCGATCACCTGCGTAAGAAATTCATTCGTTGTCCACATGATACTTCGCCGGGGCACTATACGGTTGTGGTGGTATTTCCCGCTTGTCGGGAATTGTAGACATGCGTTGGCCCGAGGTAGCGGGCAGTAATAATAGTTTCCCGACATGGCACACTATTTTGGGTGCCCCCCTACAAAATGTCTCCTATATCTCAAGCCCCTCCGGTCTTACTGATAGTTCTCCCTTTCCCTCGCGAGACTATCTTGTATCTCTGGAGTAGTGTATCGATTTCCTCCCAGGCAACCCAAGAGAAAAGAGGAGTGTCGTCCTATACTTGAATTACCATTTTCGCTCTACCTGGAACACCATCGGCGCGGTGCTGCGGCAATGATTTGTTGCTGTGTTAGGCGATGGCTCCTCACCAACTGTTCGTATCGTTATTGGCCATCATGTTAACCTTGTTCTTTCCCCAACGTATGATCCGTTGTTGCATCTGCCGCTCTCGTCCGGTCATGCGCCGGCAAATCTCGTTCGGGACCTGAATTTTAGGCGCCTGGAGGGGAATTCTCTGGAGTGCTTGCCCTCAAATGAACTGTGAGGAACGGTTAAAAAGCATGGGTCTATCGCTTTGTAATACATATGAAGAGAAGAGTATGAAACCTATCGCGAAATGGCGGATCCGGCCAGCATCACGTAGATACCGAGCACACCTGTTGTTCGCTGCTGCTCGCGATATGAGACGAATGCGTGTTACTCCAGTATCCAATTGGTGTTGATGCAGATACCCTAACCCTGAACGTGTTGCATGTACTTGTCAGAATGATAAACAGAACGTGATTCGTCGAACACTACTTTGTCTCGAGCTATCGCGTTGGCCGTGTTCGGGCCCACAACTTGTTCTGATTTCGCACGCATGGACTCTTAGACGTCTAAATAATGCGTTGCATTGATACCCCTGTCGGCCCGGTGGTCTAGTTGGTACTCTCGAAACCTTCTAGAGGTCAGGTGAAGGGTTCAGATCCCGGCGTAAGCGAGCTTTTCTTGAAAGTGGGTTTTTCTCTTGCTTCCGCTCCTGGCCTACTGGATAGCGCTACTATAGTTCGTGTGTACACAGAGGGAAAAGTGCTGAACTCTCCTCGCATGAAAATCGAAGGCAACGTACCGCAGGAGGGGAGGGTAGGGAGGGGCCCTTCTGTGTGACCACGGGTTGGAGTAGACGGCACTTGTACTGTGAGCGCTGATTTGAAGTGAAAAAAAAAAAACACTGCGTTGAACCGTCATAAAGGAGAGTTTTTCCGGGCATCCTCCTTCCTTTTGCTTTACCCATGGAGCATGTTCATTGATACATTGCATCGTAGATCGACCTCGCCTTATTTGCTTCGATTGTCGGTACAGCGAGACCTGTGTGACCTCTTTTGCGCACTTCGCAGGGTGGAAGTTGATGATGATGCCTCGGAGAATGCAGCCGGACTCTACGTTGATGCATACGGTGACGAATGTGGTGAGTGGCTCGCTGACAACGGTGTACCGATGGACTTGGGGCCGATAGGTGCTCACCGGTAGCATGTTGCTCTTGCTGCATCACAGTCTGCCCCCCGAAGGTACCGGGTCGACCAGGAGCAGTTTGCGTGGAATTTTGTTTTGCGCTCTGTTTCCCGATCGAGGCTTCCCACAGCGACTTTTCGTAGAGCGGCACAAAGGTCCAGCGAAACATCGCTCGGCGTCGCCTGTTGGTCCGATAGTGTACATCGACCCGATCGCTGTAAAGGGTGGTCAGCTCTTCCACCCCCAGACTATAATGTGAACGGAATGCATGGTATAGCATGGGTCTGCACAAAGTTCTGTTGCGGCCATCGCTTGAAGTGACGACGATATGATCGAAAGGAGCTGCAGTACTGATTGGGCTCAAACCTGGCTGTTCCGTACTACCTGACGGCTCTTACTCGGTGCAAAAGTGTACAACTGTATCTCCAAACCTTTGCGCGAGACTGATCTCGAAGCTAACCATCGGGCGAGGGATGGATGTAGGCATACTCAATTTTGAGAAAGATGTGTTGCCATCGTCCTCCCTAAGCGGCACTAGGGCTTGTACCTTCATGTGCAACATTCGCGATACGCCCCCAAACATTGATGTTCTTGGAACGTTTTTCAGGGTGCTCTATTGAGGGCGTTATCGACAACGTGTGCGGCCAAGTAATGTGCACTCCTGGAGGTGAAGGGTACACGTGTGGTGAGAGAACAAGGGCCCGAATGGCAACTCTGTAGTAAATTATTGTTCAAGTTCATCCTCTTGATCGAGGGGCTTGGGCAGCAACGAACTGATACTGTCCAACACTGATAGTCTAGATTCATCACAACGAGTGCTCCCCGATGTCTAGGAACTAGATTCGACCTTGATTCAGCATGCCCAGGTTGCGCCAAGACGCCGTCTGCTACGAAAACAAGATTGTTCAGCTGATGCCCTATTGAAGGTAGCAAGCAGACATGCATCTTAATATTCGATGTTGTGATTACTCCTCTCGAGATCAGCTTAACCGACTGCAATCCCATTCATTACTGTAAATGACGTTCTCAAGAAGTTATTTCAGCAAGACGGAGTGATTATTATTCCAACTGGTTGAGTGCACGAAACCGTACCGCCAAGGAATGGTGGTCATTCTTCCCTTGTTGGCTTGACTTTCCGCTCCTCCGGCTGGGGGTATGTAAAGCATGAGTAACTGGCGAAGCTCTCGATTGTCTAAACGTCCAAACCCAAATTCGTCTTTCAATACCCGCCAACCTGGCACTCGCTGCAGCGGGCACGCTTTCGCCTACGCCTGCGCCTGCACTGGGCACGACCGCGCCAGAATCTTCACCAGGGTCGAACTCAGAAGGTACGAAACTTGATGCCGCGTTTCCCGTGCAACTAGCGCATGCTGTACTGTCAACAGGCACTAGGCGGTCGGACATTTGACATATTCCCGGCCTTGCTCCAAACATGCCCAGTTCACGACCGTCCGGAGTGATGCATTTCCGCACCAAGCACCGGCCGCCCTTGTGAAGGCTACGGTATTCCATCAGCATCGTGACGGGGCTAGTAGTCATCACCGCTAGTGATTGAAAGGTCTCAGCTTCCCCTAGTTCTGTTTCCTAACCGTGCTTACATGCTGTATGGGTCATTGCCGTATGCTTTTCTGTCGTTACGTGTTCATATTTGAAAAAATCGCCTCTATCTCGTGGTTGATACAGAGTCGGTCGATTTCGGCTCATTCTACTATTCTCCCCGACGTTGCATTGCAGAGGATAAGTATTCTTCCAACTGGTGGAGTGCACGAAACCGTACCACCAAGGAATGGTAGTCTGTCATTCTTCCCTTGTTGGCTTGACTTTCCGCTCCTCCGGCTGGGGGTATGTAAAGCATGAGTAACTGGCGAAGCTCTCGATTGTCTAAACGTCCAAACCCAAATTCGTCTTTCAATACCCGCCAACCTGGCACTCGCTGCAGCGGGCACGCTTTCGCCTACGCCTGCGCCTGCACTGGGCACGACCGCGCCAGAATCTTCACCAGGGTCGAACTCAGAAGGTACGAAACTTGATGCCGCGTTTCCCGTGCAACTAGCGCATGCTGTACTGTCAACAGGCACTAGGCGGTCGGACATTTGACATATTCCCGGCCTTGCTCCAAACATGCCCAGTTCACGACCGTCCGGAGTGATGCATTTCCGCACCAAGCACCGGCCGCCCTTGTGAAGGCTACGGTATTCCATCAGCATCGTGACGGGGCTAGTAGTCATCACCGCTAGTGATTGAAAGGTCTCAGCTTCCCCTAGTTCTGTTTCCTAACCGTGCTTACATGCTGTATGGGTCATTGCCGTATGCTTTTCTGTCGTTACGTGTTCATATTTGAAAAAATCGCCTCTATCTCGTGGTTGATACAGAGTCGGTCGATTTCGGCTCATTCTACTATTCTCCCCGACGTTGCATTGCAGAGGATAAGTATTCTTCCAACTGGTGGAGTGCACGAAACCGTACCACCAAGGAATGATAGTCTGTCATTCTTCCCTTGTTGGCTTGACTTTCCACTCCTCCGGCTGGGGTTTATGTAGGGTGAAGCATGAGTAACTGGCGAAGCCCTCGATTGTTCCAACCCAAGTACGTTTTTCAACACCCGCCAACATGGTATCTCGCGGCAGCACCTGCACTGGGCACGGCCGCGCCGGGATCTACCCCACAACCCACTCAGCCGCCCGTCTCGAGCTCAGAAGGTAAGGGACGTGATGCCGAATTTCCCGTTCAACTAGCTCATGCTGTATTGTCAAAAACAGACATTAGGCGGTCGAATATTGACATATTCCCAACCTATGTTGCTTGTGTGCTTGTTGCATGCTGTATGGGTCATCGCCGTGTGTTTTTCAATCGCTACGTTTTCATATTTGAAATAATACGCCTTCATCTCGTGGTTGATACCGAGTCGATTTCTCCAAATCTCTCCGACATTGGATTGTGGGAGAGTATGCATCACGACGCAGACGAGATTGGCTTCGCCGACAAGAGCCCGTCTTGAAATCCCCGTGGACATGAGTATGTCTGGTCTCCCGCTTGCATATATATGTTGGCCTTTTCTTTGCGGTGCAGTGTTGACTTTAATAAAGCAACCCCCGTCGGTTTCCTCGAACTCCCCTACGCTATGTTTTTCCGTAGGATTAGACGTGTTCAATGTGTCATGTGTGTACCTAAATACCTCTGCTCAGCTCACGGCTTACCTCAAGGCAGGGTAAACCTATGGCCTCAAGGGCTCTCAAGGGCTCTGGCCAATGTTTGAGAGCGAGAGAGGGTCCACCTTCACGGTGGATAGTTGTTGTCCTCATGCTCAGAGTTCCTCGAGGTTTGCCGATAAAAGGACCCTCTCCCGTTGCCATCGACCCCTTCCAAAGTGGAGGGAAATTAATTGAGAAAATGGGCAGGTGCACACACACGTGTTGTACGTGCAGTCTTGCCTGATGCGACGAAGTATCGCACAGACTAGCCCTGAAATTCTTCGGTTGATAAGTCGAAATGTCGCTGTCCTGCCACCAGTCGTTGCCTAACAGAGTTCCGCCTCCATCAACGCTCATCGCTTCTATTCCGCTCCTGGTCTGGACAAAGAGGGCGCATCGATGGTGGGCGTTGNCCCTTCCAAAGTGGAGGGAAATTAATTGAGAAAATGGGCAGGTGCACACACACGTGTTGTACGTGCAGTCTTGCCTGATGCGACGAAGTATCGCACAGACTAGCCCTGAAATTCTTCGGTTGATAAGTCGAAATGTCGCTGTCCTGCCACCAGTCGTTGCCTAACAGAGTTCCGCCTCCATCAACGCTCATCGCTTCTATTCCGCTCCTGGTCTGGACAAAGAGGGCGCATCGATGGTGGGCGTTGTAGTCGGCGCTGTGGCCGGCGCGCTGGCGTTAGTAGCACTTGGGTTCTTCCTATATCGCCGACGAACCCTAAAGAGCACCGACCCCGACCCGCCGGCCCCTCCTGGCAACGGTGGGGACAGCCTGGAGCACGGCCGGGGTGAACCGCAGCAGCGACGGCAGCAGGACACCCATTCCGATCGGAGGAAACGATACCCTGGGCCCGCCACCTGCTACCCGGAGAGACTCCCCGCCGCCGCCGACACCGTATGCGCATGATGGTGCACACCAGCGTGATGCTCTTCCTCCGTCATCCCCACACAGGCGTGACGGCGGTGCGCGGTCACACCACGGCCGATAGCCTATTCAATGGCTTGTGATGTCTGGTTGCAGGTAGATCGATACCTCACAGTCATGTTGTCGATAGTAGCTATTGCTTGATCGATCGGGCGCTGCACAATCGCCCGCTACCTGTTGCTAGACGAAGGTGTCATGATGTTCTATCGATACCCATGGCGCCGTCGATGGTGGTGTAACCATCTGTGCCGATCGACCGCTATTTGATAGATCGGCAATATACAATGGTACAACGGTGCCCTTCGGGAGTTAGGTGGCTTGCCTCCCGGGAGCGACGCAGGAAGACATGGTCAATGTCATCGCGGTCGCATCGTTATGTCTCAACGTCATGACGTTCCGTGTTGGCAGTGAGTGCCGGTTTTGTGTACACCTGGCGTCCAAATCGCCTCCCAAGACTTGGTCAGGGTCGGGCGGCAACAGTTCTTGAACCGCTCGTTTCTCGAGACCCCTGCATGAAAAGTCGTTCCGACGTTTTTGTTGTGCTCGCAGAGTACGTTCGAGTGAGTGTGCCACAAGTCAACCTCATAAGAACTTGGAGCAATAGAATACATGTTTTATCGTTCGTTCTCTACCGCTGACGTCGTTTGCCTTGTCGGTAACAAAACGATAAACTTCGATGTACCGACAACAAGGCAAAACAAGTTTACATTAGGTTCGCAGACGACGTTCAAGGATCATTATACGTAGACTATGTGCTGGTGATGGTATCCTATCGTCGGCATAATCAAGTCATGACAAAACACGAAGGAGGTCTTTGTTTGGGTGCGTTAGCTCGTCAGAGGCCGGAAGAGAAAGAAGGTCGACTCAAGACCTTGTTGCGTAGAGAGTGAGACATGCGGTAGGCCACACTATCGCCATGCAGCATGTCCGTCAATACATGCCATCCGCGTACCCCCCGGAGGCCCCATAGACAGTATACTCTGCCGAGCACCCCAAACAGCCCCCCTGCCCGGTACGAGATACGATTTAGGAAATCCCCGACACGACTATCATTGCCAGGCAATACGGCAGACAGATCAACCAAAAACTTTGTATTATATCATCCATTAACAACATAAAGTATTGGTGAAATTGAGAGCGAGAGCCCAAAAAATTAAAGTTCGGATCCAGACGCCCCTTGCCATTTCTTGATAAGTAGGGGGCGAGCTCTTCCAAGAAGCGGCGCGAATTGAAGGTCTCATCAGCAGCGTCGCGAGGATATGCGTGTCATCGTCATCGGATGCTGCAGCTAGGAGCTAGACAAGTTGCTAGATTTCCCCAGATTGGATATTCCTGCCTCACACTGTTGCTGGGCGGCTTAGCCTCGGGCGGTGGGCTCTGCTGTAGCTTTTGCTCACCGCTGTAACTCCACATCGAGACTCTACAAGATGACCAGGGTATCTGCTTGTAGCTACGGGCTGGCCCTTCAATTCAAGCTACACAGCACGCTCCACCTCTCAGCAGTAGGCTAGCTGCAATGCATCGCGCAATCTCGCTCTCAATTAGATGCTTCGCTCTCAATTTCACCAATATGCTGTTCATTTCAATCCAAACGACTCTTGCCAATAGAATATGTCCCGCGAAACCGCCGGATCTTCCAACAGAACGTCCTGCAAAGCTTTCAATCCTTTTTTATGTAAAATTTCTACCCCAAAAAGGTCTGTCAAGAAAAACAAATCACCCTCTCGAGAAAGTGCTCTACCCGATTCTCAAGCAGTCCAAACACGATCACCCTTGGAAAAATACCCAGCAAAAAAGATCAACATTAGACATCAGAATCGCGTCAGAACGGGGAGGACGAGAAACTCCGGGAAAACGTGTCTTACGTCCTGACTACTCACAACAAATTCATTCCTCAGATATGTGGAGAACACCTTCATAAAGGTTGAAACTCCCCAACGTCTGTCGAGGACGAAACCTCTTTTCCACAGATATCATGTTTCAACTCAATGGCCAGTTCAAATTACAATAACATGCCAAACCCTCTCTCCGACATCCAATACCTTGACACAGAAACCACTCCACCAGCCCCCCTGCTGTAATATCCATTCCATCCATCCTGAACATGAAGTCAAAATCAAATCAATCAATCAATCCAACAGCCCTGCTGCATCATTCATCCCGAAAAATCGAAACCAAAACAAACCACTTGCGACTAGGATCATGGAACAATACTTCCCCCCCCATGATTCTCACGCAGAACTATCCTATCCATCGCAAAAGCAGAAATCAACATCGAGCAGCAGATCAAAGGCCAGTACCAGGACACAAATAAAACACATGATGCAAGAAAGGCCCCATCGCTGAAATATTGCAACACAAAGAACAAAATCAACGAATATTCATCACGAAGTCACGATGCGCGCAAAAAGTCTCCTTGGGGGGCGGTTTGTTTGGTCAAGAAATCCGCTCGTTGCAGGTCCGACGGTACGTGGACTACCTTGAACTCCCCCCGCGCTACACGCTCACGGATGAAATGGTGGCGGATGTCGATGTGCTTCGAGTTGGGAGTAGTAGCCGGGTTACTTGCCAAGTGAATAGCGCCTACGTTGTCCTCCCACACCGGCGTGCACCCCACATCACGACCCGGAAATATAAATTTCCACAGATACCGCAGAAAAATAGCCTCCTTCATCCCATCAAACATCGCCATGTACTCCGCTTCCGTCGAAGACAGGGTGACGCTCTTCTGCATCCTACACAGATACATCACACACGCACCAGCGATCATCACTAGTGCCCCAGAAACAGACCGCCGGTCGGTTGCCTTGTTGGCGAAGTCCGAATCGACCAAAAGTTCCATGTGGTCTCCTCCCACCGTGCCCCTCTGAAAAGTAATCCCGTACCCGCTCGTGAATCTAACATACATCAACACATGCAAAGCCGCCTCCCAGTGCAGTCGCTTCGGCGCGTGCGAATACCTCGCAACGGCACGTACCGCGTTGAGAATATCCGGGCGAGTCTGATTCGCCAGCCACATCAAGTGTCCCACTAGCGACCGGAAAGGCTCGTCGATATCGGGCTTGTCGGCGTCGTACTGCTCAAGATTCAACCCAACGACCATAGGTGTCTCTTTGTCCGTCGTCACACCGAACTTGGCAACGATCTTCTCCGCTACAGCCTGTTGCGAAATAGTCACCGTCCCCAACACCGTGTCACGAGAAAACCGGCAACCCGCATACCA